TATTTTTGCGGTTTTTGCAGAATCTGATGCTGACCTTAAATAAATTTTAATTTGTTAGAATAAAAAGTTAAAGCATATGAATCTATTAATGCGATCATAAATATGCGGTCGTCTGTTTTATTGATTTTTGTAATGTAGAAGCAGATTACAAAAGCAGGAATTAAATATTTCGGCGCCCAAAGCAAAAGAAAAAATCCGTCTCTTAATAAAAAATTTTTCTTTATGTAAAATATAATAAAAAATAATATTAATTAATAATAACATATTAATATTAATTTAATATAATCATGTGCATAAAAAAGAGAAATTATACATTATAAACATACAGATTTACATATATGTTATAATAAACAAAATATAGTTAAAAAATATAATTACTAAAAAATATAATTACTAAAATCATAATATTTTTTCTATTTTAATAATTGTGAAATTATCAATTAATATATCAAAATCTATGTTCTTATATATATATATTTCATTTTCAATTGAAAGAATTTTTATTGAATCATATTTTTCTTGATCTTTTTGTGATTATTTTAAATAACTTTTTATTAACTTCGATTTACTAAAACTTTTTTCATATGAAGCTACTTTACTGGAATAATTAAAAATATTCTTTCAGCTACTTCTAAGTTTGGATAAAATTTGGTTTAAAAAATAATATATTTGGTTAAAGTATAATCATGAATTAATCTTAAAACAGAGATATAAGAGAGGATTCTATATTTGTAGCAAGTAGCAAACCAAAATTTTTTTAAGATTAATATCAAATTCTGCAACACACGAACTAAAAAAAGCATACGTTTTTACTTGCTACTCTTGGAGCAAAAATTGGCACTTTTATAACTTTCTTTAACCTTTTTTAAACAAATTTTATGTAAATATTCAATTTTGAATTTTACATATATTTTTATTTAATAAAAGATAATTATTTCTTTAAAGAGACTTATCTTTTCTTCCTCAAAAATAAAATATAATTATATTATATCAAAATCTTTAGAAATCACAAAACGCGGCGGCGGTTTCAGATACTGTTTATGTTGGTTTGGTTTCATAATTGGTTTTTCTTCATAATACTTGTTTTTTGACAATGAAAATTTCTTCCGAGTTTTGTCAACGACGTGCATGATTGCACGATAAGCTTGATTGATTGCTTCGAATCGATTTAGATGTGAAAAAAAAGAGAACTATTCGTGACAATGATACGGTATTCAGTGTTATATAATAATTGAATGCGCCGCAAAGTGCTGAATAGATCGAGTGATCGGAGAAAGCGATACATAAAAATCGAAAAAGTGATCACTATGCCAACAATTTACTTTGTAAATATTCTTTCTTAGAAATATTTTTAATATATTTGTGGAACAAGTATTAAATAAATTTATAAATATTCTAACTTTTACTTATCATTAAGTAATAGTCTTTTTAATAATCAAGACTTTATCCATGATCGTAATTATGTAATAGTTAATCGACAAGATAAAATACAAAAAAGTTAATTTTTTCAACTTAATTTCTTTTTATGTCAAAAGGCGTAATTGCATATACTGAAATCGATTAGTCTAAGTCAGCATGTACAAAGCATTTGCGCTTGTTGTATAATAATTGAACGAGCAACAACTTCGAACAAAACTCGAATTTGTATATTGTACTAACTTGTGACACACACTTGTGACGCATATACCACCTTTCCAAGTGTCGCAACTATGCATCGAGATCGCTTAAAATCGTATACCCGGTTTCGTCTCGCTCTGAAAAGCACTCACATACGTCACTTGTACCACTTATCTCATATAAGATCCAAGTCTATCAATGCAAATGTATATAACCATAGAACACAAAATTATAATTGAAGCTGTTAGTAACCATGATGAGAATTTAAATTTATTCTAATTATATGTAACTTAAAATCCAATTATAAACATACACGTATATAGACTGTAGAGTGAATTTTATATGTCTATTTCTTATGTTTGTCAATATAAATTTAAAGATATTACAGAAATATTACTCACGAGTGTACAATTAAATTATACTTTTATAGAAAGTTTAATTCAGTGAATTCTCTCCCCCCCCCCTCTCTATCTCTCTCTCTCTCTCTCTCTCTCTCTCTCTCTCTCTCTCTCTCTCTCTCTATAAATTATGAGTACGTATTTGCGTGTATCTATGTCAATGCTATCATTTTTTATTTTTTCGTCCTTGTAACAAAGTGTATATTTCTATATTACGAAGATCGACATATTTTGCATAAATTAAAAATCTATGCATCTCAATAGCATAGAGCAAGTATGCGAAATTAAAGCGTTAGAAAAAATTTTATTTTTTAAAAGAAAGAACTCTAATTTTTTTACAAATTATTTCTCTTTCTCTTTCTCTCTCTCATGCAGCAACACACACACACACACACACACACACACACACACACACACACACACACATGCGCGCACACACCGACTAAGTTCTACATTTATCTGCATGTTTTAAATTTGATGATACGTAACAAAATATATATCTGAATATATAGTGTACATGTAATATGTCTGAATATACAGTATTTATATGAAGTAATACATATACACAAAATTTTTAAAGATATAAATAAAAAATTATGTTTCACTCGTAATTTATCAAACAAAAAGCAAAATTGTACCTAATTCCAACTACGTTTATTAAAAAAAAAAAGGCGAAAGATTTATTCGTGTTTTGAAGGGAAACCAGAGTACTTTTATTAAAAACTAAAGCATTATTTATTGTATATGAAATTGTAAAAAAAAGAATGAACATTAGAGAGAGTGTAAAAAATATAAGAAAATAAATATTAATATAAGAAAAATGTGTCAATTATGTCACGAAAATATATCCATCAAAATTTAAAGAGTGTGTTAAAATCCTCCATACACCTCCGTTTTCGAATCGATTTCGAGGTAGAATGCAGTTTATGGCGTGGTGGATACAAGAAAAGATAATTTTCACGTAAACAGATAAGATATATTTATGTGCAAACGCGTCGAATGTTTAATTATAAATATTGCATCGAAATTATAATTATATTTCCGTTAGATGTTGATATTTTGATTATTAGTACATTAATATTTTGATTAGTAAGTTTTATAAAGTTTCTTGATTATGAAATATAAAAAATTTTAAATAATTTTTTTTAAATAAACTTTTATTAAAAATTAACATTAAGCATTACTCATTATATTTAAAAATTAAGAAAACTGCATTTTACCAAATAATACTGCGCTTAAAAATCACAATTAAAAACGAAAAGATTATTTCTTACGTTATTAACTACGTTTAAATTTCAAAAATTTATTAACTACGTTTAAAGTTTTAATTCTCTATTTACGTTTACTATTTTACTATTTTACTATTTTACTATTTTAATTTTGGACAAAAAAATTTTTCATTTAAAAAAATTACTTTTGCACCAATATTTGTTTCGGCTTTTATGTTATTTCCGAGCTAATCACAAACACACAGGAGAGATTTCTTGAAATTAGTAATAAGGAATTTCTATACTTACTTAACAGTGTAGTCAAGCGCCTAGAGAATAGGAGCTGTCCTTGCTCAAAGAAAGAGTCGAGAACTGATACCAGTTACTCGTTCATCGGAGCTCTTATAGTCCTGTCTAATCCAGCCAATCTATAGCCACGGAAGGGATTGCAGACGTTCAAAATAGCTCCCTGTTAATGTTCTTTTCCGCCTATTATTTTTCATTTTCCGTTTGTCTTTCTCTCCCCCTCTCTCCCTCGTTTCTTTCCTTTCTCTTTTTCTCCTCCTTACTCTCACTCACTCTCTCCCTTTCTCTCCTTTCTTTCTCTTTGTCTCTCCCCTATATAGTATTCTTTCATTGATCCACAAAACAAATTTTAAATTTCTAATTAATTTTTTAAATTAATTTTTAATTAATTTTTTTTAATTATCATATTTATTGAATATTAATAGAATTAATAGAATTACAATAGAATTAAAAAAATAATAGATAAATTAATAGAATTACATTAAAAAATAAGTTTGATATCATTAATGACTAATGGAAGGCTTATAAAGTTATTCATAATAGCAACGTTTTAAATAAAATTGAAATAAATTTGTAAAAATAAGCAATTGTCAT